TTTTTTTTTTTTTGGTGGTAAATGAAAATATATAAGTTCTTTTGTACACGAGTTGGTGGTGTTGGCAATAGTAATAATTGGGCACGGTTTGAGTCACAATTTTTAATTGTTTAGTTGACCACAAAAATATAATTGTTATCATAGCGACACCAACGCATCCCACACCCCCAAAATTGTCATGTCCCAATGATGCAAATGCATATAAACTAAAGCTATTTATGAGACAAAAACTATGGCATATAGGTAACCAACCCTCAAATTGGTAATCCACCTCTATTTCTTTCAAGGAATACTAAGGTGAGAAGTGAGATCAAGTGTTGAATTTGTTCACCAATATATTTTTGCTTAATTGTAAGGAGAAACTTACCGGTTAACGGAAAATACATCATTTGAGATTTATGTATATATTTGAAGTTTGAAATAATAAAGAAACAAGAAAATAAAACCAATTTTTTATTACTTCGACCCTCTCCCCATAACCCTTTTTTTTAAATGACTCGCTCAACGATTACGTTTTTGTTATTGCATTTCAAATTATGATTATTGATTTTGTATAGTCCAAATCTCAAACTAATTAAAAAATGGACGAAGATTGTTATCCCTTTGCCCCAAAATAAGTGATTTTATTATATTTTGCTCTTAAATAAAATACTACATAGATATTTTGCATCTAAAACATAGTAAGTGTTTAGTTTTGGAGTAATATGATACCAAAAAAACATAGTTGAAAGTGTAATGTGAAAAACCCGTAATGAATAAATGAATTTAAATATGTGTTATGATCTTTTACTGTAATTGCTTCCAATTGAAGATGCTTGGAAATGTTGCTTGAACCATTAATTAAGGACATTGATGGATTAATGAATTAATCCAAGTAGATATACCTACTAATGAAGGCAGCATACCCTATATATTAATTAAGGTGATGTCACACTAGGCCCGTCAATTTTGTCGAGTGAGATGAGTTCGTGTTAGGTCGATATAGGTTTGTGTCAAAAAGTAATCCACTCATACTCTATTTATTTATTAATTCGTGTCCAACGAGTCGTGTTATATCGGATTCGTGTCGTGTATGAATCGTATATAGCTTGTATATAAGCGAGTTGTGCCGTATATATTTTTTTTGATTGACTTCACTCATACTCAATTCATTTATTAATCGTGTTATGTCGGATTTTCTTATTTACAAAATAGATGACTTAAAAAAAACTCAAACCTGACCCTATATTTCGTGTAATGTCAATGAGACGTGTCATATTTAAGCACCATAGCTAACAATATCAATTGGTTAACTATGACTTTCAGTTTGAAACAGGCAGCTTTAGAAAAAGAAGATTATAGGGCAGAAAACCAATTTGTTCTAAAATAAGCATAGCAGTGAAATAGGAATAGTAGTGGTAGTATAGTAATTAAGGAAAATTACACATTGAACCCCGCAACTATGAGCCCAATTTCACTTAACTCTCTTAACTATTAAGTTTCTCACTCAACTATCTAGACATGTTTTATACAAAACATTATGCCCAAATGTATAGTAAAATAACAGTTTTAAATTGCAACAATTGGACAACACAAATCTAATGATTAAAATTAGAGGTGCAATGTGAGAAAACACTACTACAGTTGAGTGAACATTTCGAAATCAATTACTACAGCTGGAGATGTGTTGTGAAAAATTTGATTGTTAAATGGGCCATGTGATACAAATAATATAGTTGAGCGGGATTAAAATGTAAAATCCTCAAATAGTAACAATGACACCTAGAAAAATAAAATAATAACAGTGCTACATAGACTTAAAAAGTGGACTTAAAATTTATATTTGATGGTCACAGTCATTGACTGTAAATCCCGACATTTTTTGGAACCTACTGTCTATTCAGTGATTGTAATTATCTAGTATAGATTTTAAGTCTAAATAATATTTTTGGTAAAATAATACTTTCAATTCACATAAATTTAACTATTCAAGAAAAGTAAAGAAAATAGAGAAAACAGGATGGAGAAATTGATGAAAAATATTACTTAAAAGCATTTCGAAGTCATGAAAAAGTATTAACAAACAAGAGCTGGTCAAAGTTCAAATTACACAATGTTTGTCGGCTCAGTTGTTTGCAATTACAAATCTGTACAGATGGAATAGAAAGATACTCCTCTCTCTCTCTCTCTCAATAAGGAGAGGCTGGAAGGAGCCAAACCCAGCCCCACTGCCACTACTAACAATTAAGAACAGGGCTTCTAACAAAAGGGATAATTAAATCAAAACCACCAANATTAATTAAGGACATTGATGGATTAATGAATTAATCCAAGTAGATATACCTACTAATGAAGGCAGCATACCCTATATATTAATTAAGGTGATGTCACACTAGGCCCGTCAATTTTGTCGAGTGAGATGAGTTCGTGTTAGATCGATATAGGTTTGTGTCAAAAAGTAATCCACTCATACTCTATTTGTTTATTAATTCGTGTCCAACGAGTCGTGTTATATCGGATTCGTGTCGTGTATGAATCGTATATAACTTGTATATAAACGAGTTGTGTCGTATATATTTTTTTTGATTGACTTCACTCATACTCAATTCATTTATTAATCGTGTCATGTCGGATTTACTTATTTACAAAATAGATGACTTAAAAAAAACTCAAACCTGACCCTATATTTCGTGTAATGTCAATGAGACGTGTCATATTTAAGCACCATAGCTAACAATATCAATTGGTTAACTATGACTTTCAGTTTGAAACAGGCAGCTTTAGAAAAAGAAGATTATAGGGCAGAAAACCAATTTGTTCTAAAATAAGCATAGCAGTGAAATAGGAATAGTAGTGGTAGTATAGTAATTAAGGAAAATTACACATTGAACCCCGCAACTATGAGCCCAATTTCACTTAACTCTCTTAACTATTAAGTTTCTCACTCAACTATCTAGACATGTTTTATACAAAACATTATGCCCAAATGTATAGTAAAATAACAGTTTTAAATTGCAACAATTGGACAACACAAATCTAATGATTAAAATTAGAGGTGCAATGTGAGAAAACACTACTACATTTGAGTGAACATTTCGAAATCAATTACTACAGCTGGAGATGTGTTGTGAAAAATGTGATTGTTAAATGGGCCATGTGATACATATAATATAGTTGAGCGGGATTAAAATGTAAAATCCTCAAATAGTAACAATGACACCTAGAAAAATAAAATAATAACAGTGCTACATAGACTTAAAAAGTGGACTTAAAATTTATATTTGATGGTCACAGTCATTGACTGTAAATCCCGACATTTTTTGGAACCTACTGTCTATTCAGTGATTGTAATTATCTAGTATAGATTTTAAGTCTAAATAATATTTTTGATAAAATAATACTTTCAATTCACATAAATTTAACTATTCAAGAAAAGTAAAGAAAATAGAGAAAACAGGATGGAGAAATTGATGAAAAATATTACTTAAAAGCATTTCGAAGTCATGAAAAAGTATTAACAAACAAGAGCTGGTCAAAGTTCAAATTACACAATGTTTGTCGGCTCAGTTGTTTGCAATTACAAATCTGTACAGATGGAATAGAAAGATACTCCTCTCTCTCTCTCAATAAGGAGAGGCTGGAAGGAGCCAAACCCAGCCCCACTGCCACTACTAACAATTAAGAACAGGGCTTGTAACAAAAGGGATAATTAAATCAAAACCACCAAAGACAGGGCAAAAAAACAAAACCAACAAGAAAATACAGAAGAAATGAAATAATGAAAAAGTTTTTAAAAAGTAGAAAAAGAAAGGGAGAGTGCTTGCTTCTTTCTCACCTTTCTTCCATCCCTTTTCTTTTCTTGCAGCCTCTGTTGAGCATCTTTTCCCACTAAAATGCTCTTTTTTTAACAATCTCATTCTTCACCTTCTTGTTGAAAAATGTTCTTGGTTCTCTTTCTTTGTTGATTCCAACTCTCTCCTACTTCTTTCCATTCTTCAGCTGAGCTCTGTTAATTCTGTCCTTCTTTCTGGGTTCCCATATAGCATTTTCTGTTTGATCAGAAAGTTTAATTGCTTTCTCTTCAATACAGTTGCGGTTCTTTTTCTTTGCTCTGGTTTTTTCTTGGAAATTGAAGTTCTTGGGAAAATTCTTTGCTGATCCTTCTGAGTTCTGTCGGACAAGCTGAAAGAATCCCATATTTCTGGGGTTTTAATTCCAGAATTTAGAATTCTCTTTCATTTTTCCTTCTTGTTTGCCAGTGGTTTCTGGGATTTCTCTTTTCTGATTTGAGTACTAAGCGTTCTTCAATTCTCTTTCTTGAGCTCCTTATTCCCTGAAATTAGTTTCCCACTTTTTCTTCTTCTTCTTCTAATGGTTTAGCTTACGTTCTCGTTACTCTTGATCACAACTTCTCAAAACTTCTCAGCTTCCTTTTTTTCTTGTTTTTTTTGAATAGTGAAACATTCTCACAATTGGGTTCCAGATTCCATGGGAATTTGTCATGGAAAACCCATTAAACCCCCACAAAACCTATCTGACAACCCAATAATTCTTAATGACAATGAGCCAACATGGAATTCTCAAACAAGGAAACCAACAAACTTTCCCTTCTACAGCCCAAGTCCTCTTCCTAGTGCATTCAAGAACTCACCTGCCAATTCTAGCGCGACTTCAACCCCTCTTCGCCTCTTCAAGCGCCCATTTCCTCCACCATCACCAGCAAAGCATATCCGGGCATTGCTTGCTCGGAGACATGGTTCAGTTAAGCCCAATGAGGCTTCAATTCCTGAGGGAAGTGAATGTGATGGGGAGTTGGATAAGAATTTTGGTTACTCAAAGAATTTCACTAGCCATTATGAGCTTGGAGAAGAGGTGGGGCGTGGGCATTTTGGGTATACTTGTTCGGCAACTGCAAAAAAAGGAAGCTTGAAGGGGCAGGATGTGGCGGTTAAAGTTATCCCAAAATCAAAGGTCTAGAGTTCATTGCTTTGTTTCAATGTTCTTTCTTTCCAATTCTGTCAATATCATTCACTAATTTGTTCATTCATTAGGCTTTTGTGTTTATTTTTGGTAATTGTCTGAAGGGCATGGAAGTGTGTGAGTTGAACCTGTGGGATATTGGATAGCTAAATGGCACTGTTTGTGTCAAATTTAAACCCTCCAACCGTTACGACTTCTGGATACTATGGTTTGATTAACAAGATTTAACTCAAAGTAACTGAGAAAAATGTCATAAATTAGATATGTACGACTTAGAGGAAAACTTTAGTCAGTATGGACAATTTAAGTATGGTTGGCAGGGTTGGGATGCTTTGTGAAGGTTCTGGTTAATGACTGTTGGATTTCATTTTGTTTCAACTTAATCGCACAGATAATGAGTTAAAGTTATTTATACGACTATGGTGATGCTACAATTGATTATCTTACTCCTACCAAAGATAGGAAGTTGTTATTTACTTTTATGTTATTCTCTTATCTAAATCATGGGGGCATTTGTATTTATTACTGAAGTCGTAGTTGATTAACAGTTTAGGTTATCCTTTTAGCTACAGACTTTGCATTGACAAATGTTGTCCTTATAGATTTAGATAGTGAAAACAAATGTGATTCTCATTTTCTTCTCAAAAAGATGAATATATTTTGCAGATGACTACGGCAATAGCCATTGAGGATGTAAGGAGAGAAGTGAAAATATTACGGGCTCTCACTGGGCATAAGAATCTAGTGCAATTCTATGATGTTTATGAAGATGACGACAATGTTCATATAGTAATGGAGTAAGTTTGGACTACTTCCCCTTAAATAACTGAAGTTCTGATATGCTAACTTGGACTATATTGCCTTATGTAATTTGTGGCTGTTTTTTGTCTCCTCAGTTTGGTTTGCACTAAATCAGTCAAATAGGAAACTTGTCGTTATCAATTTCACCTTACATAGTGGTACATTTGGTGCTCTAAATTATTGCATAAGTTCATCAATCAACTTTCTCTTTCGATTTTTAATATTTTCCAGATGCCACAGATATACAAATTGCAACCATGCATCATATGCTGTACTGCAACTTAATTTCACTGTTTGATTCAGTGAATAACTGAACTGGTGGAATCATGATGTCAACTTATTGACTTGCATGTAATCACAGTGTATTTGATGTGATGTGACTGAGTGATTCATGCAGAGAACTAACCATAGAATCATTGTAGATATTGATACTGGTTGGCTGAGTAGTGTGAAAGTCAGCTAAAGTTTTAAACCATTATGCCTGTGACTCATTGGAACAAAAGTCATATTCTTTTAACCAGTCTCTAATATTTTCCCCTTTGTGCTGTCTCAGAGTTTGTGATCTCCAACAATAATCAAATATACCAATGTAATTGTTGGTCTTATGTGTAGCAAGGATCCCTCAGCTAAATTAAAGTTTTGAAGTTTTTGATCATACCCTTTATGACGTTTGTTGTTCTTCAGGTTGTGCAAAGGAGGAGAATTGTTGGATAGAATACTTTCAAGGTACTTATTCAGACATATTTCCTTTCGTGGGAAATTTACTCTGTTTTCCAACCTTTGAACTGGCTAATCATGTTCTTTAGGGGTGGAAAATATTCTGAAGAAGATGCCAAAGCTGTCATGGTTCAAATTTTAAGTGTGGTTGCTTACTGCCATCTCCAAGGTGTGGTTCACCGTGACCTGAAACCTGAGGTATTTGTCAACGATTTATTCTAATTGTTCTTTGCCCTTGGTAATTAAACAGCATAAAGCTCAATTCATTTTGGGCGGAAAATGACCACATTGTGGTGGATTTTTAGATTATGTTAAACCAATTCACCTAGTTTGGGGTTCAGTATGACATGCGCTGTTGCCATTTTTACCTACAAATCTACCAACCACTGAATTTTGGGGCAGTGTCAAACCATTTAATATAGTTAAGAGAGCAATATAAGAAAATAATAATGCAGGGGCAAAGTGAAATCAGGATCATAATTTAGTGGTGCTATATTTCCTACTCCTCAAGTTTCATAGTAGTGGATATTTGGGAAGGCCATCATAAGACATCATATAGTTCAACAAACATTTGGAGTTAGAACTCTTGAGGGTGGTCCATTGGTCAAGTCAGCCCTCTTGCAAGCACGAGATCTCAGGTTCGAGCTATCCTTGTTCCTTTGGGATATTTCCTTAAGCTAGCTCGAGTTCGAGGGAGTAGTCGGCGCAAGTCTGTGGCAAAAACAAAAGCATTTGAAGTTAGTACCTGTACCTATATTCATGTGTTTAATTATCATGGGTTTGGTTTACTGCGGAAGACATAAACATTAGATTGTTCCTGTTGTCTACTTTGCCAATTTTTAATTCAAAATAAATGTGCTGAAGAGATTGGTATAATTTCCAGTACTTACAAATTTGGTCATTGTTCTTTTAAACCTAGATGAAAGTTTAAAATCATCTCAAAATTTCCTCACTGGTTGTATGCATGAGATTATGCATATAATGTTATTACTTATGATTTCTTCCTTAATATTTCTTCTTTGTTATAGGATTTTCTCTTTTCATTGATACTGACTGAGTGAATTCTGCTTCAGAATTTTCTTTTCACTTCTAAAGATGAGCATTCTCCATTAAAGGCCATTGATTTCGGACTCTCTGACTATGTGAAGCCAGGTCAAATCTCATACTTTAGATTTTTATTTTCTGACTGTTAGAAAAACTCATTACAGTTTTGACAGTTGGAGTTCGGTGTGCAGATGAAAGGCTGAATGATATCGTAGGGAGTGCATACTATGTAGCTCCTGAAGTTTTGCATAGATCATATGGAACAGAAGCTGACATGTGGAGTATAGGTGTCATTGCTTATATTCTTCTTTGTGGAAGCCGGCCCTTTTGGGCTCGGACAGAATCTGGAATCTTCCGAGCAGTTCTTAAAGCAGATCCTAGTTTTGATGAAGCCCCGTGGCCTTCGTTGTCAAGTCATGCGGTAGACTTTGTAAAGGGTCTGGTGAACAAAGATTACCGTAAAAGATTAACAGCTGCCCAGGCTCTTAGTAAGTTGTTCCAACTATCTAATCATTAGATTTTCTAATTGGGTACATGAACCAATAATATTTTTCTATAGGCTTCTGTGATTTATCTCTATCCTCATGAAACCACCTTGAAAATTTAATTTGATCTGATCTCTTCCCAAGATGAGGAAGAAAACTTGGGGACCTTATTTGATTCTAATACATGCAATGGGGTTTCCTTGTTTAGATCATCCATGGCTGGCCAATTATCATGATGTCAAGGTACCTTTGGATATGATAACATACAAACTTGTAAAAGCTTATATATGTTCATCTTCTCTGAGGAAAGCAGCTCTTGGGGTATGTGCTTCTGCCTTTAAACAAATTCCTGATGTTTAAGGACCTTGTAAAATGTTGCCTTTAAATTGTTTGGAGAAAGATATTAGGAATTTTTTGTCGGCTACATTGATCAAGACGTAAAAGAACAAAAACATGAATTAAAACTTACACCAGCAGGAGAATAGCCCCCACCTCTTTGCTCCCATGGATACCTCAAGGCAGTAAAAAAACATGAACATTTTTTCGGAAGCAGATTGAGAAGAAATAGATAAACAATTTTAATGTGTGTAAGTATTGAATTGTTTCTACTTCTGTGACAGGCTCTCGCAAAGACGTTAACAATACCTCAGCTGGCTTATTTTCGGGGACAATTTGCATTGTTGGGCCCAAACAAAAGTGGATTCATATTGCTACAGAATTTTAAAATGGTTAGGTCTTTTGCTGTTCTTCCTCCATTTTTGTTCACCATTGTTTGTTGATCCTCCCCCCCCCCCTCAACCCGAAAAAAAAAAAGGACAAAGAAAAGCACCAAAAAAATGTCATACTAAATGTCTGAATATGATAGGCTGCAGCAAAGAACTCTACGGATGCCATGAAGGATTCACGGGTTCAAGATTACATCAACATGGTAACATTCTATTTTCTTAATCGTACATTTCTCCTCCTTCCTCCGATTATTTATCGGTTTAAAATAAATGAGCTGAGCCTTGTCAATCGATTTTACTGCATATTGATGTGTCTTGCAGTTAAGTTGTCTTCAATATAGAAAATTGGATTTCGAAGAATTTTGTGCTTCAGCAATCAGCGTGCATCATCTAGAAGGAATGGAGAGTTGGGAGCAACATGCACGCCGGGCCTATGAGTTTTTCGAGAAGGATGGAAACAGACCTATTATGATAGAGGAACTTGCCTCAGTATGCTCCCTCTCTCCCTCTGTGTGCGTACATGTGTATAAACAACACACTCATGCATTTTCAGGCATATCTGTATATATGCGCATTGTCCAATGAAGTACCTGGAGATGAGTCCTTGTAAGCACTGTAAAATCAAGTAGATGTATCTATCAGAATAGGTCCCTATATAGGAAAGATTTTCTGCACTGCCATTGCCATGAACAAAATTTCTTTGTACACCATTTGATCCCTGTTCCTTTTCATTCCTTCATGGCTGATTGGATACAAACCTCTACTTGCAAACCATGTTTGTCTGCGAAGGTCAAAGTACTAGATTATAGTTCTTTTATTAGTTCTCTTTCAGAATACTTAAAAAGCAAATTGATAAATTTCATGATTTTCACTACCATATTGCTTCATTAATTTGTTAGATTCCCAACATTTCTTTTTCTTCAGTATGTCCTAACACCAACCAATGTCTCTTTAATAACACTGGGTTCTCTTAACAGGAACTTGGGCTTAGCACTTCAGTACCAATTCATGTAGTCCTCCAGGACTGGATAAGACACTCTGATGGAAAGCTCAGTTTCCATGGGTTTGTCAGACTTTTACACGGGATCACTTCTCGTGCAACTCAGAAGGCTTGATATGAAATCCAGCTACACAAGGTTTATCTTTATTATCTTTGAAACATTGCTTGAACTAAGTTGTCTGGAGGGAACAAAAAGTCAGCAATCCGAGGGAAATCCTGAGAAGGAAACAAGCAGTGGTTACGTCTTAGGTGCACAGGGTGTGGCTTTAGGTTCAAGCTTTAGCTGATGCAGGATGAGTGCCAGTGCAAGCCATTGGCAACAAAGCCACACCAGTAAATGCCTTATTTGAACTTCTTTTCTCTTATATTTTTTTTGTTTTTGTTCCTATGAAATTTAGAGGATTGTACAGATGAGTCCAGTTCACAAAATGTATGTAGGGTTAGAAAAAGTTGTAAACCCAAAGTGACATCTCTGGTTTTGGGTTGGGTGTATCCCTTGTGTAGCTTGATTACTTAGTTCCTCAATAAATTGGTACTATGATCTACAAGGAGGGTCTCTAGTAACTGAAAATATGGTTTCTGATTGCATTTTGGCATCAGGGCATATTGATTTATGATTTGATTGCAATTATTATTGTTGTAATTTTTTTTTAGACAAGGATCAAATTTTCATTTTGGTGCATACTTTTGGTGAGCTTGAAAACAGAAACAAATTGAAAACAAAGAAAAATTTAAAAATTTATTTATGCAAAAATGTTTGAAGCATACTCAAACGTAGGATGAAGCATGTTGAAACACTTTGAAACCTATAGAAACATCTTGAAACGTAATATTTAGTTTGTGATTTGCTCCAGTTTTTATAGAAATGGAAACGTTTTGATCATTACAAATCGAAATTTAGTTTCTTGGTCTCTAGCAACTGAAAATATGGTTTCTGATTGCATTTTGGCATCGGGGCATATTCATTTATGATTTGATTGCATATGACCAATTGAAATAATTAAGTAAAACATGTAATCAATAGTAGGGAAAGTTCAAAACAGAAATTTTAAATATACTTTTATCCAAAATTCCCACTTATTTTCTATAACATGCAAGCAACTATTCCTAAATTCTTTACAAACTTTTTGGTGGGGCAAGTTGTCATGCCCCGAACTCTATTTCCTTAGATTCGGTGTGCAAATTTAATTACCATCAATATCAATTTATACAAAGTACTAAAATCCTCAATCAATAAAAAAAAATAGAAAAATTCAATTTTTAAAAATCATTATAATGGTTCAAATTACTTTTAAAATTGTGAAAATTTCACCGATAAATCAATAATTCGAAATCTCTATTTCCTCAATCGATCCAATCATCTTTTGACTTTCTATAGATTTTTAACCTAAATCTGAGAGGGATAAATGGGGGTGAGCTTGGGAGACCTAGTAAGCTATTTACAACATAACATATGGAATCACAAGATTATAGGATTATCCAACAATCAACTGTAGAATTAACAAATAAAATGAGCATTTAACACAAATTCCTTCATAAAATTTATACGAAAGTCAATTCTCTAATTTTCCAAATCATTCATGGTTCATACTAGGTTGGTCTCGGCTACATACTAGACACTACTCAATCCATCTCATTCTATCATATGCCCCTCGGGGCCATTATCATAACTCAATAACAAAATCATGCTACTGAGTGCGCCGGACGCATGTGCCAATAGATCTCAAGCACTTCTGTTGTTGATAAAGTCATTTTGGTCAAAGAAGTAACTGTTTCTTAAATTAAGTGGTTTGATACATGTATACAGTTCAAGAGTCATTAGTAATATTCATGTATGGAGTCTAAGGGTCATTCATGAATCTACTTATTATTTACGGTTGCGCACTTGATCTAGGTACATGATAAGAGAGTCATATAAATTTTAGAAGTATTTTGAGTAATGCGTGGTATCCCATTTAGAGCAAAAACAAATAGAGAGAGACAACAAGAGAGAGTGAGGGTTCTCTTAAACACTCATAGTCTTTCCTTTTGTTAGAGAGAAGTTATTGTAAATTCTTTTGTTATCCTTTTACAAATTGCTATCATTTGCCTCAAATTTATTAGGGAAAATTTTCACACAAAATTTTCATTTTTTATAGTTTTTACTTCGTTTGTAATTGTGTGCCCGTGCTCACAACTCGCAAACAACTTCACCAACAGAAAAGAAAAAAAAAGAAAAACTTTCACACAACATATACAAAGACCAATCAAACAGAAGTCCAAACGAACCTCAATACAATGACGATAGAAATTAAAGAACTCTTTACAAAGAGGTTAAGACACGAATGCATATTATGAGATAAATTACTTAGTCATTCGAAGGTTGACACCGCATAAAGAGTTCTCCATATGCTGGACAATATTCTAGATTTTCGTTGTGATCCCATACAGTTCAAACATCTACTTCCGGGCCGCAATTCCCTCAGTGTTTGCTTCTTTCTACCAAAGCCGTCCTTATTTTTGTATCAAACTCTCTCTCTCTCTCTCTCTCTCTCTCTCCAATCGCCTCAATACACTATTCTCATCACAAGAGATCTATTAGATAGAACATAAATACATGCAAGAAGGACATAGGGCGCACGGTTTGGCTTTGCTTAATTACACTTTGCTCCCTCTAAGTGTTCCTTTCTTTTTCTACATAATTAATATTTAACACCCTTGAGCTCCCAATTATATTTTTAACTCCTTCCTTATCTTGCTTGTTCATTAAGCTCGCACCACACTTCTCTTTACACTTAATTTAGCAATTACTTAATCAAGGGTTAAATCGAGTAATTACATATTATTTTAATTATAAATTTTTTTTTTGTACGGAGTATTACATTCTCCCCTCTTTAAAAATAAATTTCGTCATCCAAATTTGCTCTCTCTAAATGTCAGCCTAGTGGTGGGAGAAACGTTGCATGCCCTTGAGCTAATCTAGTCCTAAGGCATCCAACCCATCAATAGATCTCAATTTACAAAACTTGATCAATGGTATAAGGTTATGGTAGCTAACAGAACATAAGACATAGTACAACTAGTGATACAAGTGTCAATTTTGCACTAAATGTGAAGTGATACAAGTGTCAATTTTCTCTTGTTCTCATTTCTCTAACACAGTAAAACCAAGGAAAGCATTAAATTGACTAGGGAATGTTGTGGGCTTTTGCACTAACGTCAAATGATATGTATGCCGATTTCTCTTGCTTTCATTTTTCTAACATAGTACAACCAAGGAAAACACTACATTGACTGGGGGAATGTTGTGAACTTTTGCACTAATGTCAAGTGATGAGTGATCTGCGGGAGGTGACTGCCTTGGGCATGCTGTAAATTGTGCCATAGATTTCAACACAGGATTGTTCATCTTTGGATATGTAGAGAAATAACAGCCCAACACTTTGATTGTATTGGCTATCTTTGTCATCAAGTTTTGATTACATTGTGCACTACAATAGAAAGTAGATCTAACTAGAAAAACTTTTCAAAGTAAAAATATTCGTCGGTAAAATGTCTCACAATTCATCGGAGGAAGCCCATCACTAAAAACATTTATCGACAAAAATTGGTTTCCTAGGCAAAAGCTTAGGTTTTTTTGATAAATTTTTTTATCAATAATTGTCTTAAAAGTTGTAGTTGTTTAATATATCTCTAGAAAAAAGTAAATGGAATGGAAAATGGAAATTCAAATGCTAATGATTATTTCGTGGGCAAAAGTCTTATTTTTTCCTAGGAAAATATTTTCATAGGTGAAAGTCTAATCTTTTCCCGGTTAAAAGTTGTATCTTTTTTTTAAAGAAAATAATGACATTTATACGGATTAAACTACCCAAAATAGTTTAAACAAACCAAAAATTCTACTAAAATCATAAAAAATAGTGCACACTTCTCCATTACTAACTTTTGCAATATTATAAAATCACCCTTAATCACAATGCTCCATTACCATCTCTTCATACAAAACTTAAGCAAAATAATGTATAGAGTCTTATGTATTACAAAAGAAACCATGGAGATTCCCTATTTTGACATATACACTTTCCACAAAGGTGGAAACTGCTTGATTCGTAATGGTACATCCAAGTGCTGGTAATCAAGAAATAGTAATATTTGATGAAGTCCAAGATCGAACCAAAGGTATATGTGAATTCAAAATGTTAGGTAAAGGAAGAAAAGAAAAAAGTTTTCAGAAAAATTGAGTTGATTAAAGAATGATTGCACGTAACTTGAAGGTAAATAACCATAAGAAAGTATGATCTTTCAGCTTCGAGATCTGAATCTGATCATATTCATCAGAAAATTATATTTATGCAATTTTAGAATAACTCAATTGATTTCAACGTCAATGTAGTTAACCTAAAAATATTTTTTAAACATATAATTGGTTTGATTAATCTGAAAATAGGACTGGAAGAACTAGTTTATAAAACTCGCAAAGAATTAAAAGCAATAAATATAACAAGAACTTAATTTTGTTAATAATCAATCAAATAATTGTACAGAGCTCAAAATTTTGATAAAATCATTCAATCAATCTTGAAAAAATAAAGATTTAACATGAAAAAAAAACAAAAACTAAAAGTTCTAAAAAAAAAAAAGCCAAAGACAGGGTTTGACCTTCAAACAACAGTGATTCTGAAGTTTGTTTGCTGCCCTTGTAATATAAATAAAGCAATTTTGAAGAAATGGTCGTTAGCAATAGCAATTAAGTGATGTTTGCTTCATAGTTGGTCCATCGTCTGCCAAATTAAACCAGGATTCAGCCAAAAAATAAATGGTACGCTTGCAGATTAATCTAATTCTAAACTTTTCTGTTTCAAAGAGAAATGTAATGAGCCCTAATCCATCAAACAACTTCTTTTCTTAGCACATTTCCTATGTATTAGACTATTTTGAATAATTAGAGCACACAATGCAAAAGCATTCCCTGCACTTAATGGATGCTGAAAAGCACGTATTGTTTAAGAATTCTAATTTTGTTTACTGGCTTATTTCTATTATCTTTTATTTATTTTTGATCAAATTTATGTAGAAACTCATCAGTCTCCTGGGATGAAAGGGAATCTCAAGGCCTCCTGTAACTTCAATAGTAACAATCCCAGGCAACTGCAAAATGATATAAACACATAAACAAAATTCAATTGTTCCGTTCAACATGTAGAAAGATAGACAAAAATCAAGTAATTGGTGATTCTCCCTAATCAAAATATTCAAAGCAGCAACTTTGGTTACTCACCATCGAGCGCGTAGATCAGTTGGTGAGGGGTTGTTCTAGCTTAACCAAGGTCCTCGGTTTGAGACTTGGGAATGCAGTTGCGTTCGGTAGGAAGAGCTTTGACACCCTTGTGGTCCTACCCGGCTCGAATCCAGATTAGTCGAAGCCTGTTGTGGCTTCCGGATACCGGATGATCTGACAAAAAAAAAACTCTGGTTACTCAACAACAACTAGTAGAAAGATCCACAAAGAGAGGCAGAGAGATCCACAGAGAGAGAGAGAGAGAGAATAACTAAGATCTCTCAAAAAACCACATTGGTATCATTTTTGAATATGCTAACAATGCAATAAACAATAGATCATCAATTAATCCTNACCCAAGTGCTGGTAATCAAGAAATAGTAATATT